TGCTATACTTTGGTAAGTTGACGATAGTTCTTCTCTATTAAGACTGGAACTTAAATATAAAGTGGACTTGAAATTAAGATAAATGCATGGGAAAATAGCCGGAGATCTGATATTTCATAAATAACATGATTATTTGTTTGATATTCCGTTTTTTTGAATTAAGATTTTTTTATTGTCATGTAAAAAGCCACTTCTATAAATAAATAACCATTTTTTGAGAGTTTTCGACGTGTTGAACTTGTCATCTTTTTTCTTGGTATAACGAGTACCAATTCAAAAAAAGAGCTTTTATAGGTGCTACAATCTGACATGATCTTTTAAATAAAAAAGAAATTAAATTTATAAAATGAAGGTGCATAGAGAATTTCGGATTGCTAAATGAGTTATTTTTGACTCTTGCTTGTTGAATATATCCCGAAAACATCATGGTATAGAGCTGAGAATATTAGCATAGTCTCTCCATTACATATCTTAAAAGTTTCATACGATTTGAATGCACCTAATCCGAGATCGGTTTTTGAGGAGAGACGACCTTAAATTTTGCTATGTACTCAAACCTGACAAATGCTACAACTGTGAACCTGAAGCTAACTCAGACGGTATGGAAGGACTCATAGTTCTCTAATTGTTATACATCGAAATTCTATTCAATGATATCTATTATAAATGCTTTATCAATATTTTTATTAAAGCGAACATGTAACTTATTTCTCTGAAAAATAATAAAATAATTGAAATTAAAATCAATGAAATTGAACTGCTAGAAAATACTAGACTAAAAGATAAAGATTGCATAATCTCGATAATAAAATTTGCCATAAGAACAAAAATATGGCTAATTCTCTTTTCTTTTGCTTATTCTATAGAAAAATCTATAAACTGAAGAAAATTCACCTTTTGAATAAATACTTCAAGTTTGAAAAGCAAAAATATTAAACGCTTTTATATTTCCAAAAATATAAGAAAACAAAAACCAGTGAAACAAACCTTTAACAGGTCGTTTCACTAAGGCAGTATAATCCATTGTTTTTGCTCTTTTACGTTGGATTTTACGGCGATTATCAGCTGAAAATATAAAATTATTTATTATTCTTTTTTTTTTTCAAATATAAATACTAAAGAAATCAGCTTCTTCAATAATTTCTCGTTGAAGCATTTCTTCAATAACATCTTCAAGTGTAATAACACCAACAGTTGTATACACGGGATCAACATTATCTTCTTCATGACGTACTTCTTGTACAAGAGCAATATGCCATCGAGCTAAAATAAAACTTATAAAAACTAATTAGATCATTTATATTAAGTTATTTTACATTCAAGAAATTCTTGCATTAAATGATATAATGAATCTGTTGTTTTTGTATAACCAAATGGATCTATTGAATTATTCATATTAAGATAAATATTAAAATATAAATTACATACGAGTATGAAATTCCATGAGATGTTTAACTGTTAAATGATATTGTTCAGGAGTAATTAAAGCAAAATCTCGTAATTTAACAATACCAATAACATTTGATCTTGAATAATATTAATAAAATTTATTTTATTATGAAAAAAATTTTATACTAACTTCTCATGTGAATAAACTGGAATACGTGAAAAGCCATGTTTATGAACTTCAAGTAATAATTCAGCATCTGTTGTACGATCTTTATCAATCATAAACACATCAGATAACCATGTCATTGCTTCTTTGACAGTTTTCTTACGTAATGAAAGTACACCTTTAAAAAAGCGATACGATCAATCATCGAAAATAATTACAGTTATCAATGTACATTCAGCAAATTAGTTTATACATTTATTTAGCAATACAACGATGAAAGATTTACTCAAATTAGTAGATTAATAGTAAAAAACTCACATAAATGATTTTTACTTAATCATAATATAAACATTCTTTTCATAGCATATACTAGTACAGAAACATATAGAAAATCTCAAAAGACATAGATATCGGTGTCACAAATCGTAATTTATATGGTATTTTGTCGAGAATACTGCGAACAGGCTCTATCAATGTTTATTTTCTCGGAAAAATTTTTTTCAATATAATTAAAGCTGTAACTCAGCGCTGGAGGCAGGAAGAGAATGTAGAATGATCAAGTCCCAAAAAAAAGGAGCTACATGAACAATGTTCAAAAACAGGGGCATTGTATGAATAAAATTCAGATACATAGAATGTGTCATGTCTAAAGTCCAATAGATCCAAGATGAAGCCGAAGGGCTCTAGTCATGCCTCCGGCGTCTCCCATAAGTTATGCTTCTGGATATATCTCCCTATTGTAAACCGAAGTTGTCTTTATCTCTCATACCTGTTATAACATCAAGTTCTGGTTTTTCAATATCTGCATTAATTTGTGTTAACATTACAGCTATTTGATCACGTGTATAGGAAGCAGTAAATTCTTGTCCAAGAATTTTATCAAGAATAAAACCTAATGGATATGAAATAATTCCTGTTATAATCATCGATATCCATATTATAACATGTGTATGTGCACTAATAACTAATCCATAACGAGAACAAATAGCTTGAGGAATAATTTCACCCATTAATACAATCATTATTGTTGAAACAATAACAGCAAATAAACCATGTACAAGTGAATCAAGTAAAACAGTACCTAATGAATTAACCAAAACATTTGCTAAGACAATTGAACATAATAAATAATTGCCACGTTTTCTTAATGGTAAAACACGTCGAACATAATAACGAAGTGTAGTATCTTCTGATTCAGCTATTAAACATAAATCATTTACACTCATTGACATTAAACCTAAATTCAAACCACTAAAACAAAAGAATAACATTTACATTTAATCAAAAAAACAAAAAATAAATGTTCTACCTGAAAAAACCCGAAACAATAAACAACATAAGAATTAAAAATATTTTAGCTGCAAATGGTAATCGACCTTTTTCTCTTAAAAAAGTAAAATAAACACCTTCTAATTGTTTTGCATTATGTGATTTAGTATTATTATTTAATAAAGATAATGATGTATTCGATGATGTTAATAGACAAATATATACCAATGAATGAGATTTTGACATACTTTGAAGTTCAACATTTATCTCATTAATTGATGTTGATGATAAAGAATAAATAGGTGATATATAATCATTTGATGTACATTTATTAAGTGAAGCTGAAAATACAAGTGAACTATTTTGAAGATTAATACCACTTAAATAAAGACGAAATTTTTTTTCTTCATTTAATATCCAACCATACTTTGGTTCAAATCGTATAACTGTTTCAAAATTTGTTGAAAAAACAAGAAAATGAGTTATTAAAGGAACATGATTTGATATAATTAAAGGAGATAATGTAGTTTTTATAGTTTTTGTTGTAGTAGTTGTAGAAGATACATTATTAAGAAGATTTAAAATAAAATACAGACATATAAAAATAGAATACATCATCTGAAATAATGAAATATGGTCGCTCTTCTAAAACCATTTAAGGTCAAAAAGTGAAACATAGCAAATAAATATATACATAACAAAATTCTTCTCTCTTTCTCTTATTTGTTCGTAATACATTTAAGTATAGGTGTCAATCAGAATGTATGTAAAGTGAAATAATATGTGGATCGAACGATCTTTATTCAATTTAGTCGTAAGAGGGCGCTTGTTTTTTTTTAAAAACGAAATGAAAAATATTATAATTGTACATCTAATACTTAGGGCATACCAAAAGTACTGGCAGTGACACTTTAATACCCTATAGTAGACTTTAAGAAACCTTCTTTCTATATAGTCTGATAGAGAAAAAAATGTTCTATCCTTCTATACTATTTGATCGTACTTCAGCTAATCTCATAATATTAAATTATCCATAAAACCTATTTCGGCTGATTATGTGCTGGTTGTACTAGATTACAACGTGTGAGAACAGACTAGTTTTCAATCCCTCAAGACATTGTATGAACAACCAAAATATACCACAAGATGCAGCGGGAAAAGCTCTACAATTTACATAAGGCCATTTATTTTATAGCTGCACTTTTTGCTTTCAAAATCGATAAAGTTTTGAGGGATCAAATTTTTGGTATTGAGAAAATTGGTCGCATAGAATTTTCCTTTTTTTGAAAACAATTACAATAAGCTTTACTGTATAGATTGTAGAGCTTTTCACGCTGCATCTTGTGGTATATTTTGTTTTTCTTTTGGTAAAGCATATCAGGTGATAAACAATGAAATAACAAAAATGAATTCGTTGTGTATCGAAAACATTGTCTTTTTCGCATCTTCACAATTTGATTGCTCCAAATTTTGTCGATTTCGAAAACAAAAATTGCAGCTATAAAATAAGTGGTCGTATGCAAATTGTAGAGCTTTTCACGCTGCATCTTATAGTATATTTTGGTTATTAATACAACTAGTAAGAAATCGAAAACTGCAATGCAAAACTTACAACCAGCATATAACCAGCCGAAATTGGTTTTATAGATAATTTAATACTATGAGATTAGTTGAAGTACGATCAAATAGTATAGAAAGATAGAGCATTTTTTTCTCTATCAGACTATATAGAAAGAAAGTTTCTTAAAGCCTACTATAGGGTATTAAAGTGTCACTGCCAGTACTTTTGGTATGCCCTAAGTAGATTAGATCTTACGAAATGTTGTGCGGTCAAAAACAAAAAAGAAAAGATCAATGAGAAACTTTTTAAAACATTTTATTCTAGGGTAGAATATTATGAAAGTTGCACTGGAAGTTTAACTGTTAGATGTATGAATGAGGGAACAATTAAATCTTAATAGAATTAATCGATCTGAAATATATCAACAACAATAAATATTTCTTAGTTATTTTATTATGGCAATAGAAAAAATTTTGCTTTCATAGAATTATTTGTCCTTCGGATTAAAAGATAAAATATAACTTTCTCTCTCGACGATGTGTTAGTTAATCCACGTGTATCGTTTGAAAATAATTTTTTCTCGATCAGTATTATCGTTAACAAGTTATCATAAACATGCAGCGAACGAAACAACAAGAGAAAGATATAGAACAAAATCTACGTCGTATTCAAAAATTACAATTAGAAAATTCAGGTAGTATTTCATGTAAATATTTCTTAAATGTATTTTTTCATTTTCTTTTTTTTAGTTACAAAAATCAATTCAAATAAGTTACATACATTTTTTAAAAAAAGTCATAAAATTAATTCTTTTTTTACTTAGATATACAATGGAAGATTTTCCAAATGAAATTTTCTATGAAATATTTGAATATCTTGATCTATATGATATTTATAAAGGATTTTACAATCTTAATACACGATTTCGAGATTTAACTATTCATGCAAATGTTTTAACTAAAATCAATCCTTCAATAATGTCAAATTCAAATTTTAAAGATTATTATCAAAATATTGTTAAGCCAAATCAAAAGCAAATTAATTTTCTTCGTTTAATAAATCCATTTGTCATTAATATTATTTTCCCATCACCACGTACTATTTTAAATTTTAATTCTCTTGAAACATTAATTCTTGATAACTTACACAACAAAAAGTTTGACGAATTCTTTGATCATTTTATGCACTTACCTAATCTTCATTCATTAAATATCTCTCTTACTGAGTGTATTAAATCATTATATATTCTTTTTTGCCAAATATTTCGTTTACCAAAATTAAAATATTGTAAAATTGAATATTATTCTGAAAATAACGAAGAACCATTATATATTGATTTAAATTATAATTGTAGTTCTATTGAACATTTAATAATAAATGGTCCTTTTCCATTTAATACATTTAATAATTTATTATGTTGTCTTCCTAAACTTAAACATTTATCAATGAATTCTATTGTTGGATCTCAAATGATTAGCGAAATACAAGAATTATCTCCAATTGAATTAAAATATTTCAAGCATATTTCTCTTAAAATTGATTATATTCATTTTGGCAAATTTGAAAAAATTGTTAAAGATTTTTTTCATCATGTTCAAACCAGAGATGTGCGGTCCACGGGGTTCACCCCGCGGGCCCCGCGGGGCCACGTGGCGACGGGCGGGCGGGGAAGAAAAATTTAATTAAACGCGGGATTAACGGGGCGCGGGTATTTTCCGGCACACGGGCGGGCGGGGCGGGGAATAATTTTTTTAAATGACATGGGTCTCGGGCGGAGCGGGTATGAGATACACGGGTTCGGGCGGGTAAACATTTTTTTTCGGGTGTGATGAAAGATCGTCAAAACTTATTACGGGATGTCCTTAGTATAGGTATGTAGTACAAAGTACATATTGATTGGTTCATTACTTTCATCCTATTATGTACAAGATTGTCTACCATTTATTTGTTTCTTTCTTTATCGTCTGTCATACGCAACTTCTACTATCAATTTATATTAAGTGAATAACTGGACTAAAACTTTATATTTAGAATTATCGTTTGAATTTTTTTGTGAATTACTACTTAGGTCTGGCCAAAAGTTCTGACAACATTATATAAAAGTATAAAGATAAGGAGGTATCTTTAATTTTATTTTATCAAATTTTGAGGACAGTTGCCATGATTATTTATACCAAGTTTGATCCTTTCCAACGATTAGTTAAAAGTTTTTTGAAGTTTTTTCGAAAAAATTTTTAGGTATCATGGATACCGCATGAGCTAATCATATTTTATTTATTGTGAAAAGTTAGCAAAATCTTGTTCGATCATATCAGTTGCATTCTAGTACTGCTAGTGATGAGATATAGATTTATTTTAGATAGGTTAGTCATAAGTTATCCGATGCTGGCTGGCTTATTGAAGGTGAATCGTCAAAGACTATTGTTCATGAATAAAGATTTTAGAAAATGCTTTGTTTTGTATATTTTTTAAATCAAATACTCCTGAATGTAGATAAAGGCAAGACTGTAAGTCACAAGTATTAGGCTGAACGCTCTCCAAAACATTTTATTAATCAAATATGGAAACAAACAGAGACATCAGGTTCATAATGTACAAAATTGCTTGACGGTCATCGTTGACTTCATACTCATCTAATGTTATTAATTGCATGACAGAAGAAGGCATCAATATAATATCACATCTATCATATTCGCCAGGCCTGATACTATGTAACTTTTCGCTAACTAATTCTATTAAATGTAGTTTAACTGATTAAATAAATGAAACATGATAAGCTTGGGCGATATCTAAAAATTTTTTCGAAAAAAACTTTTAACAAATTGTTGGAAAGGTTCGAACTTGGTATAAATAATCATGGCAACTGTCCTCAATATTTGATAAAATAAAATTAAAGCTGCCTACTTACCTTTATATTTTTATATAATGTTGCCAGAACTTTTGGTCAGACCTAAGTATCATCGAATTACATGATTTATCTCCTGATGAATCACTTAATAGGACAGCTTCGTCGAATACTGATCGTTCATCTACAATTATTTCTTCATCTCTCAGTCATTGCTCATCGAGTAATATTAAATGTAATTCGTCAAATATAAAAATGTTTTTAAAAGAACAACCACAAAAATACGTGCTTGTCGACAATCACAAAGTGAATCATTCAAAACCATCTCATATAGACTTGAGTTTTGTTTTTGTAAAAAATGACTTTTCATAAAAGGAATGCATCATTAAAAATAAAGTATCTGGTAAATAAAAAATTTCTTCGGGTTACACGAGGACGGGTCGGGGCCCGTCACAAAAATGGCGGGTCGGGCGGGCTGGTCCAAGAAGCTGCCTGTGCGGGGTACGGGCGGAGCGGGTATAGATTTGCCGGGGCACAGGCGGGGCGGGGATTCTCAAAAAGAATAACCACGGGGTTTGGACGGGACGGGTTTGTAAATTTTACGGGGCGAGCCCCGCGGGGGATGGAAAATCAATGCCCCGCACATCTCTGGTTCAAACTTTACATCTTACAATAATTGGTGATAAAAGTTCTTTAGATGCTAAACAATATCAAGAATTAATAACATCATATATGCCATATTTACGTATTTTTGATATAAATCATGAATATTCTATAGGAAAGAATGATTTAACATATCATGATATAATTAATCAGTTTAATTCTTCGTTTTGGATTGAAAATAAATGGTTTTTTACACATCAACACCGTCGAACACTTGGACCACATACTGGAATTTTTTATTCTACAGCTCCATATCGGTAAAAATAGATTATTACCTATCGAGAAAATCGTATCCATGATTCCTTTTTCTTGTAAATCAAGAGGAGATAGAGTTTTAATCATTTGACAGAGAAGACCTAAGTCTATCTAAGTATAAGGAAGAATAATTTATAAGTAATGTTTTAATGATTCTAAACATTGATATGCTAAAGTAATGTTCTATCATATGCAAAGATTGAATGTAGAATATTAGATACATTTAGATAGCAATACCAGACTTATGTTCCAAGAATAGTCTTTGAATATTGATGTCTAACCAATGTCAATGCAAGATATTTTTTATTCGATAGGCTTATTAAAATTATATGGTGAAATTTAAGTCTTCTTTGTGGGCAAAAATCGTCTGTCACTCTTCCTTGAATAGTGAAAATTATACATCAATATCTGATTTTATTTGAAAATTATTCGAAAAAAAAGATCACGACGAATACTTTTCTCAATAGACAATGATTTTTATTTGTTCTCTTTTAGGCGAAAATATTATACGTATTATTTGACATTGAATAATGAAGTTTGTTCACATATTCAAGAAAATGTAAATTCAGTTAAACATCTTCATATTGTTAGCCAAGGAATACAAAATAATGTTCTTAATTATTTTCCAAATGTTAATCAATTAAGTATTAGATATATATCTAAAAAACAAAATGAATCGACTATAGCAATTCTTCAACGTATCGTGCCTTTAAAACAACTTACGACGTTATTCATTAAATATATTGATTTACCAGTGGAATATCTTATTAAACTATTATATTTTGCACCTAATGTGCATACATTAAATTTAATTGAATTACCTTCCAGTGTTACTGATCTAAAATTGATAAAAGAAAATGAAACTTCAAAATGTGTATCAAATATGAATAAAATAGAAAATCTGACTATTCGTCGTTGGATCACATTCTATGAAATTCCATTTATCCTTCATTTCTTTCCAAAATTAAAATATCTTAAAACACAAATACTTACACATGAAACACGAAAAATAATTCGATTATTGTTATCAGAAACTCGCAATCGAATAAGAAATTTATTGTATTTATGTATTCCGGGGGTATCGAAAAGATCCTTGAAAGAAATAAAATTTTTAATTAAATCAGAAAAACTACTCCATAATTACTCAATTATATATGTTAATGAAACTTTACATTTATGGTGGTAAAGATTATATTGTTTAAGATATGTTTAGTTGTTTTATATAATATATATTATGTTTGTAAAAATAAATCAAAGATGAAACTCTGATTATATTTTCTCATTTGATGTTAATTTAAAAAAGTTTTAGTAAGTCTAGAGAGATCAACTATTTGAAACGCATAACTGATAGAAAATACGATAAATAAACACTATTTTATTATAAGTTCGTCGAAATATACTGTTTCGAAGATTGAATGATTAATTCTTGTTAATTGTATTCGATATGGTTTTATATGTGTACGTCTCTTCAGCAATTATTTTTTCGATCTTGGTCCATAATTCTTACGAGATCAATTTCGAAGAAAACAGACTACCTTTCTTTATTTGAATTCTAAATATTCTTATAATTTAATCCACAAGTTATGAAACGATAATAAATACTGTAAGATACCAACAAAAATTGAATATGTTTTCCCATGGGTTCAAAATTTCAAAAATAAAGCTTTTGGCATACATATGCAATTTGAGTTTTGTATCTATAGACAGTTCATGACTTTGGACAATAATTCTCTAAACGTTTCGTTTTACTGCTGAATACTAGAAAGTTATCTTTTTCTATAAACAAAAACAGATTAGAATACTATTTGTAAAAATTCAACGATCTCTCTTTCCATCACTAAATCTATTGATGATGTATGCACTCTCGAAAACCTTTTTTTTTACGCTATATATATTAATGAAGTTGACTGAAGTTTGCTCGAATACTTTGAAATTTTAATATGATTTTTTAACACATTCGAGACGATTAGATTTTCTTTGAAAATATCTTTAATAGATTCATTTTCATGTACATTTGCCTTCCGATCAATGTACTCGTTTGCCTTTTCTGTATGTGCTGACAGTTGTTCCTCGTTTTCTTGTTTATATCATTAAATAGGTGGTCGTCTTTCACATCGAACTGAATAATTGCTCAAGTTTGTTTTTCTCTTTCTTATATGCATTGCGCAGTAAGAATGACATAACGAAACGAAATTCCAATTTATTGAAAGCCAGATTTTAGTCGATTAACATTCTTGGCTCAATTATTACTATTGACGAAACAATGGTGCCATGACGAGGTACGATACTCTTCAAACAATAAATTCCTGAATAATCGCACAAATATTGCTTCAAGATATACAAGGTAGCCAGTACGAATAGATACACTTGAAATTTTTGGTTTATATCGAGAAGCAAGATCCAATAGTTGCTCTTGTAATGAAAATCGGAGGAAACTGCATGTTTACCGCGGTTTTATTGGTTCGATTATCGGCTTCTATTATCGCGGTTAGCCGATCCTTCTGTGCAGTTAACCGGCACCGTTTGATTATTTGTTTCGTTAATATTTGTACTTAAATTTAACAGTTATTTTTCAGTTAATTTAATTTTTATTTTAACCAAAAATAAAAATACAAGTCAACATAAAAAAAGAACACATAAAAAAATAAACACAAATATAAAAGAATTAATCTAAGAAAATTAATATAAAAAAATTAATCTCAAAAATTAACATAAAAAAATTAAATATTAAACATTTAAGTATAAAAAAATATAAATTTTCAAGTGAACTTCGTTATTGTTATATTGATTCTTTTCTCTAAGTAAGCAAGCAAACGAAATAAGTGATGTGACAGACACGCATACATATATATATATATATATTTTTTCGTTCTGTAGCTATTCGTTTTCTATAGTTCACCGATAAAATTACTGGTGAAATTTATGACGAACCGCGGTATCAATTAAAATCGACGGTTTACCGCTAAAAGCGATCCGATTTTTGTGACTTAGGTGGCCTTGGATGTGCTCAAACAGCCATGATAAATTTATTAGGAGATCTTTTGGGGTGCTATAGAACTGTAGTAGCTGATAACTTCTTTGCCAGTATTTCTCTTGTAGAACGTTTGTTGCAAAATGATACGTATCTTATTGGGACATTGAGAAGTAATCGTACCAAATCAGGAGACTAAGTTGTTCAGAAAAAGCTCAAGCGGGATGAACTTTATGAACTCCAGAGTAGAAACGACATAAAGTTGATCAAGTGAAAAGATAAAAGGGACGTTTTGATGATATCCACAAAGTCATCGCCTTCAGCAACTG